TGCTGCAATTTCATAAAACGTTAATGGAGGATGAATAGTTGTTTCTTATGCACGAGCAAAGAAGTGGTTTCTTGACATAGAAACTACTCCTTGTGAAGATGCTGTGAACATTGTTGAAATGACAACAAGGGATTTAGAATATTATACAAACTTAGTTGATAAAGCAGCAGCAAGTTTAGAGGATTGACTTGGATTTTGAAAGAAGTTCTACTGTGGATAAAATGCTATCAAAAAGTATTGTATGCTACAGAGAAATGTTTGATGAAGGGCAAAGTCAATTCATGTGGCAAACTTTATTATTGTCTTATTTTAAGAAATTTCCCCAGGCACCCCATCCTTCAGCAACCATCACCCTGATCAGTTAGCCATCATCAATGCTGAAGCAATATCATCCACTGGCAAAAAGGGTATTACTCACTGAAGGCTCAGATGATTGTTAGCATTTCTTTTAGCAATAAGCATTTTTATTAAGCCATATACATTGCTTTATACAATGCTATTGCACACTTAATAGACTATAGTATATGATAAACATAACTTTTATATGCATAAGGCAACAAAAAATTGTGTAATTTGCGTTATTGTGATATTCACTTTATTTTGGTGGTCTGGAACCATACCCACAATATCTCCGAGGTATACCTCTATTTGTAATTTCACCTATTTTGAAAGGCCTTCAACAAATGAGAACTCTTACAAATAACATCACATATCTGATCCTCTATGAAATTATAATGATTATCTTGACCAGTCTAGATCAAGAAAGTAAACCTGTGACTTTGTGAATCATGACACAGAGTTGTCTCCTAGGGTAGATGTACCTTAGTGTGGATACCAGGGTATGCTCCTCAGTTCCATATGTAAGATGCTCAATTTGGTCAGATACTTAAATGATACCAATCTCTCAGAGAGTAGCTTATAGCAGTTTAATGCAAAAGGAATCAATGTATAAATCCGAGTGTTAGCTTTTTTTTTTCAATAATCATAACCATCAAAAAGACTGCAGCACATAGGATAATGATTACTGAGTTTCCTCCATAATTATAAGTTATACTGGATCATATAATTATGAGGAGACGTGTCAACACGTAATGAGAAAAACTGGGATTTTGTTTGAGTGATTTTCATAGATTTTTGTCATGGCACTTTTGTGGCTTAATGCGTCTATCACTACAGAGATAGATCTGGCTAGGGGACTGGAATGTTCACATCCATTGGCTAGAACATCTTTTATGTTGGACAGGCTTGTAATACCAGTTTCAATTTGTACTCTCTGATTCCTGTTTTCTGTGTTTCAAACTGATCACGCCTCATCATTTGACTCATTTTTTTAGATACACTTAGGCTACCTAATAGGTTATAGGCAAGTTTTGTTCTTCTTGGGTTTAGATTAAAAGACATTTTTGTTCAGTATAAGTTTTGCACATGTATTATCACATCTACAGTATGTTGATTCTGTTAGCTTGAATCTCAGAGTTATGGGGAAAAGTGTCATTCTGGCTGTAGAATTTAATGTTAAGATCATGGATTTTGTACTTAGGCCAATCAAGGTATTAATTCTGGCTTCCCCACACACTAACTGTGGGTCCTTACAAATATTATTTCACTCTCTTAAGCCCCAATTTACTTATTTAAAAAATGGAAGTAATACTGTTACTTCACATTGTTGTGGTGATGATTGCATTAGATAATGCACACAAAGTATCCACAGGGCCTAGCACATTGTAAATGCTAAAAAGTTATTCATTATTTATTACTGTATAAAAAGCTCAGAAGAAAAACTTTTTATTAGCACCATTATTATTGTTTATAAGATGAATATGCAAAAGACTATAGAAAAGATAATCAGTGAGCAACTTTAGCATTAGTTTATAGGAAATCATTTCTACCTTCACTTAATATGCAAAAATGATTACTGTCAATTTGGAAATTAGAGCTGGCAATATTGATAACTGCTACTCTTACACCTGAGCACCTTTTTATATGTCCAGCAAAACAGTGCTGCTCCTTCTATTTATTCAACACTTGGCAAGTTGAACCATCCAAGTATGAAAATATTATTTTCAGGGAAAGCTGTTATCTGTTTATCTATATAGAGTGATAAATACATTAGTTTTTAAACATATTTCTGAGTCACATTAGATTTTTCCATTACTAAGAAAATATTATATACAAAATCATTTACCCTAATTATATCTTCCTAATGTTTTCATATTTCTGTATATTCTAAAATAGAAATTATGTTTCATTTCTAATCAGAGACAGATGAAGCCTTTAGCACCCAGAAGGCAACACAGAACCTGGAAATATCACAAACGCCAGCACACACATGGTGTCTCCTTAATGGTAGCAGATGTGTACCTCTAGCAAAGAGCATCCATGGAAATAGCTGAAAAGTAGAAGGCAGGTAGGTGGGGGACCAGATAACAGCTTCTAAAATAATAATGGAATGAAACCACAAGAGGCAGCTTTCCTATGAATTGAGCAATACAATTCAACTGGATATGGCAGAACAGGGTGACCTGGTACAAGTCTTGGCCAGGCAGCCTATAGGTAAATAATAGAAAAACATCTTTTATCAATTTCTGGTTCATTTTCCTTCTCTCCGTCCTCACCTAAATCCTGCCTGTTGTTCAAATTCCAGCTTAAGTCTCACTTTATTTAATAGTAATATGGGAAATCACAAAAATGGTATTTACATATATGTTCTTATTTCATCTTTGCAACAACTCTTTAAGGAAGTAGATCCTCAGAAATGTTAAGAAACTTGACAAGCCATTTGTCCAAAGTAGCATTGATGAGTTTAGGATTTGTGGAGAATAAGGTTCTTATGCAAGATCCATGTGAAAGTTTGTAGGAGGTTGGTTAGGTAAGTCAAGTTTGAGGGGCAAAGCACAACTAGACATAAAGTTTTGGAAACTTTTAGCAATTAATGATGATAGTTTTTAACAAGAGAATAGATGAGATCCCACAGACAGAATCTCTGGAATAAGAGCGGTAGTCTACGGTCTGAGGGGTCTTAGGACAAAACTCAGGAAGACACCAATATTTAAAGTGTGAATGAAAGCACAGCAAGCAGCATACAGAAACTAAGAAGGAGCAGATAGAAAGGAAGAAAATCAGCAGAGTTTGGTGTCACAGAAGAAGAGGGGACTGAATTTCAAAAAGGTATCAGTTAAAAGAGACAAAAGTTACAGAAAGGTAAAGTTAGAAGAAAGTTGCATTATTGGGTGGGGGCAGGGGGTGGGGAAACAAATTTGAACATGATCATACTGTGATGGGGAAGGAGCCAATGAAGGAGAAGAGGCTGAAACAGAGAAGAGAATGGAGAGCTATGAATGGACTGAGGAGATGGGAGAGGCTGGTATTCAAACCACAGGAGAATAATTTAGTTTTAAAGTTGAGAAGAGAAAATCTTTCCTGTGAGAGTGAGTGAGGCAAGAACTATGCAGGAGGCTTAAGGACAGTATGGCTACTGAAAGGCCTAAGAGAAGGAACTGAGCAAACAGCAGCCTTCCTTCCCCCACACTATAATAGAAAATCTCTTCATATGGCTTTTGGTATCCTCTGAAAGCCCTCAGAAACATCTGAGATCCAACATCTTCACTAGGATTCGCTTTTCTCACACATGTTCACACACATTGTCTCATCATTCATCAGAGCATTCCATTCCAGGATGCTGAGAAAACAAAAATATCTAGCAGTCTGAACCATGTGAGGTGTATAGTTCCAGAGACACATAAGTATGGGACTTTAATCATATCCTCTTTATCCATGTCTGTGGGCAATTATTTAAAGTCATTTTGTTTTTGACAAGTTGTCTTACCCATTATTTTTATGTTTTTAAAATTTATAATACAAATAATGTATAGCTAATTGATAGGTTATGCTCTTTTAATGTAATTTTTTAAATAAATAATTCGGGATCTCTCTTTTAAAAAATACTTGTAACTGTCAATTGGAATATATATTTAGGACAACTTAAATTGATACTCTGACATTATAATTCTCAAACTTGGCCCAAATAAACTCACTACTTACATCAACTTTGCTTCAGTTTCTTCCTTTTAGGTTGACCAGGCTAAGTTCTGAAATGTCTTTTCCTCCTTTTCACTGAATCAGGACATGTATCCTAGTAGTGGCCTCCTGTTTTTGATAGCCCTTTGTCTTCCCAGAACATCTTGGTCTGCCTTCCCTTTCCATCTTATCCACTCAGTCATGGTAGTGGTGTTTTTTTTTTTTTGTTTGTTTTTGTTTTTTTTTAGTGTCCCTGGTTAGACTTCACCTGTGGTTTGAATCTTGTAATCCCTCTAAAACTGCCAGCCTCTTATCTCACTCATGTACAGGGTATACAACTGTGCCTGGTTCCCATTGTTGCCCCAACAAGGGCATCTACTCCACCAGCTTGTACCCTATTCACTTCCCTGAACTGGGAGCCCTGCAACTTTATTCTTTGCCATCTACACCCCCAACCCCACCCAGAAGTTCTATGAGCTCCTTTAACCCACCTTCCCTTTCAGAACAGAAGTGTGTATGTGTGTCTGTGTTTGATGGTCCACTCCGGGTGTGCAAATGACCACTCTATTGTCTCCAAAAAGCTGCCGGATCCCCCTCCCTCTCTGGGTTCACTACAGCTCCCAGCTCAGCCACCTGGCGATTCTCCACATGGGGGCGTGGTGCCGTGCCAAAGGAAGCTGGTCCCAGCAGGCTTTGCGGGTCCCAGCAGGCCTTGCAGCATGACTCAGCTTTTCTCTGTGGCGTGTTGCAGAGTTGCCTCAGGGTTTGCCGTGGTGATGGCGGGTCTGCTTTGCTCTTTGTAAGAACAAGGGATTGAGGGTGGAAGGAGGCCAAGGAGGAGGCCAGGACTGAGCAAGGACTAAAGTAAGACTGAGAGGGGAGGGGAGGGACGGACTGGTTGGCGGCAGCAGCCTGTACTGGAAGCGGCGGCCGCAGCCGAGGCAACACTCGTGAGGCAGCTACTTGACTAGACCGCAGCCGCCATGGCAGTGAACTTTGCGTACCACGCCAGCGGGTTTCGCCACAGTGATGTGATCAAATTCATTAATGATGAAGTCCACATGAATGGGGGCGGCCCAGCCTTTTATGTGGCCTTCCGCTCGCGGCCGTGGAACGAGGTAGAGGACGGGCTTCGGGCCGTTGTGGCCGACCCGAACGTGCCGCGGTCCATTAAGAGGGCCTGCACCTGGAGCGCGTTGGCTTTGAGTGTGCGAGCGGCCGTGAGGCAACGGGAGCAGCTGCTGTACCAGGTTCGGCGGCTGCAAGGGCATGTGGAGGAGCGCCAGGCGGCCTCCTGGGCTCTGACCTCCCAGCTGGAGCAGCTGCGCCTGGAGCGTGAGGCAGCGGCAACGCAGCTTCACTTCACACAGGCCGCCCTGCAGCAGGCGCTGAATGAGCGTGATGGGTTATGCGGAAGGCTGCGTGAAGTTGAGAGATCCATGCAGGTCTATCCGATGCCTCAGAATTTTGTACCTGGTCCGGGAGCTGGCCAGTATGCGCCTGTGGACTGTTGTTTAAATGCAGAACAGAGAGAGGCAGTGGCCACAGAGGCACAGGGAATGCCGCATTCAGAAGCCCAGATAGCAGCCCCAGCAGCTGTGTTTTACATGCCTGAAGCCCAGAGTGGCTGGATCCAGGGCATGCAACCCCTTCTGCCAATGCAGCCCCCACATCCAGTCCCATTCTGTGTGCCTTCACCAGTGGGACTGCCAAACTCAACACTTCTACCACCCCCAGTGGTAATGGAATCAGCAGCAGCAGTTGCACCACAGATGCCTCCTTCAGGGACTTATCCACCTGGTCTCTGGGCCACAGTGGGGTCCCAGGAAGAGATGGCTCCTCTGTGGGACCAGAGGTGCTATGGCCAGGATGGATATCCTGAGAATTTCCAGTGGGTATATCACCCAGGGGATAACAGAAGCCACTACCAAAAGGAAAGTTCTGAGTGTCCCCAGGGAATGACCTCCCAGGGGGACAGAAGCAGCCACAGCCTGAAGAAAGATCCAGTGATGCACCAGGGTGCAGCTCCCCAAGAGTTTAGCAAGAGCCACAGCCTGAAGAAAGAACCAGAGATGCCCAAGGAGATGGTCCCCCTGGGGGACAGCAGCAGCCAAAGCCTGAAGAAAGATCCAGTGATGCCCCAGAAGTTGGTTCCCCTGGGGGACAACAGCAGCCATGGTCTGACAAAAGATCCAGTGATTTACCAGGAGATGGTCCCCCTGGGGGACAGCAACAGCCACAGCCTAGAGAAAGATCCAGTGATGCCCACGGAGATGGTCCCCCTAGGGGACAGCAACAGCCACAACCTGGAGAAAGATCCAGTGATGCCTACGGAGATGGTCCCCCTAGGGGACAGCAACAGNAAGATCCAGTGATGCCTACGGAGATGGTCCCCCTAGGGGACAGCAACAGCCACAACCTGGAGAAAGATCCAGTGATGCCTACGGAGATGGTCCCCGTAGGGGACAGCAACAGTCACAGCCTGGAGAAAGATCCAGTGATGCCCACGGAGATGGTCCCCCTAGGGGACAGCAACAGCCACAGCCTGGAGAAAGATCCAGTGATGCCCCAGAAGATGGTTCCCCTGGGGGACAGCAGCAGCCATGGTCTGACAAAAGAGCCAGTGATTTACCAGGAAATGGTCCCCCTAGGGGACAGCAACAGCGTGGAGAAAGATCCAGTGATGCCCACGGAGATGGTCCTCCTAGGGGACAGCAACAGCCACAGCCTGGAGAAAGATCCAGTGAGGCCCCAAAAGTTGGTTCCCCTGGGGAACAGCAGCAGCCATGGTCTGACAAAAGAGCCAGTGATTTACCAGGATATGGTCCCCCTGGGGGACAGCAACAGCCACAGCCTGGAGAAAGATACAGTGATACCCACGGAGATGGTCCCCCTAGGGGACAGCAACAGCCACAGCCTGAAGAAAGATCCAGTGATTCCCCAGGGCACAGCCTCCCTGAGGTTTAGCAACAGCCAGATAGAAGATCAGGAGAGGCTCCAGGAAACCCTTCTGGAGGATAGCAAGAGCCGTGATGTGAAAAGTAGCCCATGGAAACACCACCAGCCTCAGGGCCAGAAGGTCAAGCAACCAAAAAGGAAAAAGGCCTCAGAATCCCAGCGACAGAAGCCTGCCTCATGTGCCCGCCCAGTGAGGTGGGGCTGCCCATGGTGTAATGCCTTGAATTTTCCACGGCGCAAGGCCTGCTATAAATGCAAGAGAGTCCGTATGCCAGTCGAGAATGGCAACATTGACCCAGCGTAAACTCACTGATTTCACGAAGGTAAGATGGATGCACTCCAAAGAGAAACCAATTTCCCAGGACCCCCTTCTGATTAAAAAAAAAACAAACAAACAAACAAAACGTAACTAACAGAAAATTTGAAACCAAAATTATAGAGAAAATTAGATAAAATAATCCATTATTTTATTAACCATATTAAGTACTTTTTATCATTGTGAGTATACATACATATAAATACGTATGTATTTTCTTATTTTATTCATTTATTTGAATAAAGACTACTGAGTATCACATTCAGCCTTTAATTAGGGGATTTCTCCTAATTGCATTCGACTTTTTCAGGTGCTGGATTCTGGTTTGCTGATACTAATTTGTTAATTTGTTGACACCCTGGAGAAGCTGAAGTTATAAAGCCCGTTTTAAATAAACCATTTTCTGTTTTTTCTTAACCTCCTTTTCCTGAAAATGCCATGTATTTGGCTCGAGCAGCCATGTGATTTTAGAGTTACAGGCTATGTTATATTATAGAAATGCCACTTTTCCTTGCAAGTGCTATCATTATTTTGAAACTGCTGCAGTGTTGATTTTTGCTTTTTGTTTTATTAGTTTTACAGATGAAGTCCTGTTTTGTTTCTTAGCCCCACCAAACTTGCTTGTTTCTGAAGAAGCTGAACCTACGACATTAGAAGATCACCAAAGGCAAAAGAAGTAACACCTCAATTCTGATGGACCCACACCTCGCTGAGACCCCAACTGTTTGCAGCCAAGAAGAATGACGGGAAGTCAGGGAAGAAGAGATAATTTTACACTTACTTTCTCCTAAGGGGGAAAAGGAAGAACAAAATAGATTCTTTTAGAGTTGAAGTTTTTTCATTGGTATGGGAAATAACTTGGAAAAGTTTGGGGGGGTTGTAGTGTTAAATTCTGTAGATGATAGAAACTTTGAAAGTTTAGGGGAAGAGTTTAGGGGGTTGTAGTGTTAAATTCTGTAGATGATAGAAACTTTGAAAGTTTAGGGGAAGAGTTTAGGGGGTTGTAGTGTTAAATTTTATAGATGACAGGAACTTTGATTAATTTCATTTAATTCATTAAAGAAAGAGTTATTGTCTAGTACGTGTTGGGAGCTAGACTTACTGTTATTATCTAGTACACCCAATATAATCCTATTTTGTGAGTTTAAGATAGGAAAGAACATAATTTGGCATACAAATTAGATCAGGTGTGTCTTCTTTGCCTTGCATATCACGTGACCTTGGATAAAACCAATTGAAGTAACATCCAGATTCATTTTTGTGGTTCTGGGGCCAATGTGAGAGACTTTCATGAAAGGTTTCTTGTTTTGTTTTTGTTAGTTTCTTTTTAGAGATGAGGTCTCGCTTTGTCACCGAGGCTGGAGTGGAGTGGCATTATCGTCATAGCTCACTGCAGCCTCAAACTCCTGGGCTCAAGTGATCCTCTGGCTTCAGCCTCCTGAGTGGCTGTGAGCCACCATGCCTGGCTCTTAGGAAAGCTCTTGAGTAACCAAACTGCTCATCTCATTGGTCCCAGGTAAGACAAATGAGCAGTGACAAAGTTTGGAAAAGTGTCCTCACAGAAGTGCAGGCAGAGCTTTTTTGATTTCCTCCTTTGAGAGGGATAACTATTTTCCTGGTTGCCCACCAGCCTGCCTGAAAGACCTGGGGTGTCTTGAAGAAAAGCAATGCTTCGGGTAGTGTTCACTATACACACTAGCTTTGAGCCTCGGGCTGCCCCATCGCAAGTCCCTTTTCAGTCAACAGTAGATGAAGAACAAAATGGATTCCAAAGACAAACATTGGGGGCACCAGGTTATGGATGGTGTTTCTCTTGGGAGGATAAATTGGGTTAAAAATAGAGCTAGACTGGGGCAAGCACTCTTGAGAATAGCCCAGGACCCCTCTCCTCTCCCTCTTTGGTGTGTTCTCTATAGGCTTGCCTAAGGCAACTGCTGCAAGACAAGGGAGGAGCCAGGATGGAGCCCAGCGTGGTTGGTTAGATTTGCCTTCAGTCCAAGCTAAAGATGTCCTTGAGTTTCCCAATGAGATCCCACCCAGTTCACCAAAATCAATGTTTGTAAGGGTTTTTCTGGTCCTAACTAGTAATAAAGAGTGTTCGCTTGACTGCTGTGTCTTCCATGTAGTGTGTATCTCAGGGTAGATTTGTTTAGAGGTGGCATCTTAAATCCGCATTTGCCCTTCATCTCACTGAAGTGAAGAAAAGTTCCATCTCATTCACTATTGGAGGGCATCTCCTCTCCTAAGGAGTTACCCAAGAATGGGGACAAGGTACTATATGGACCTAGACAATGTATTGATTGTGATTTTCTCCCCTACACTCGTTGTTTAAGTCTACATAGTACCTTGAAGGTGGGCACTTCTGCTGCTCTGGGGCCAGTGGGAGATGGGAATGTCTACTGATGGTGGAAGTCTCGATGCCTAGGGTCCAGCCTCCTTATGTGCACCATGTAGCCATTCTCTGTGGGGCCCTGCCTTCTTTCTGGCGTCTTTGCATAGAGTAAGAGGTGCTTAGGTATCATGAGTAGTAATCTCCTTCTTTTCTTTCTTTTCTCTAAGTCACTCTTCTGTCAGCATAATTCTGTCAAGATTTTCAGGATTAAAGAAAACCAAATACAGGCTGGAAGCATAAACATCCCGTGAGATAAGGGAGGGGAAAGATCTGGACATCTTCTTGGAATGAGTATGGTGAGATAAGAGGTGAACAACAAAAAGAATCTTACCATACCATAAACTTTTCTCAGAGATGTGACAAACAGGAAGGGGTTTGTTTACCTGGGACAAGAGTACAAGAAAAGAAGGGGGCTGTCAGGCAACAAACACCTAAACTTTTGTTGGGGAGGAGGACAGATACTATAATATTTTGTATACCCTAATGGCCCCTGTATGTTTGTAAATATGGGTATGTGCAGGTATTTTTTTCCGCCTGGGTCGAAATTTAGTGCTGGTATGATAGAGGAGGAAGAGTAGAAATTGTAGTTGTGGAGGAAGAGGGGAAGGATTCCAGGTGCTGCCAGTAGTGATGGTAGGAGTGGGCCTGGTGCCATTGCCTTGGAAGCACTTAGGGAGGTGGTGGTGATAGAGGAGGAATATGGGTATTGCTCTGAGCAAGGGAATGCAGGGGAAGTGGGAAGAATCCTATTAGAGTCTTTGAGGGCCTCAGAACAAGAGAAGCAATATTTTCTCTTACTGCTCACCCATTCCTTCACTTCTTCATACCCGCCTAGTGGAGCCTAGGCAGAAGCAGCATTGCCTTCAAACTCCCATGTCCATTTCTACCCTTTAATATAAAAGCAGAATCAAAAGCAGCAGCTAGAATAAGGGCATGTCCTGGGAGACATCGGTTGACAGGTGTAAAACGTAGAAAACGCTTCTCCACTTACCTCGGACTCCCAAAGTGCTAGGATTACAGGTGTAAGCCACTGCGGCGGGCCTAAAAAGCACTTTTAAAGGAACTGTGGAGTTTTTCCTCAAACGGCTCAACCCTGCAAGTCAGACTGGTCCCAGCACCCCTACCAGACAGCTACAGTCAATGCTAGGGGTCCAAGCGCCCCCAGAAGACTCCCCCAAGCTTTCTCCTGGAAGTGGGGTGGGGCCAGCAGAGAATTCTAGGGGTGACACTTACAGTCCAGGAACCTTTTGGTGCCCAGAGGGTAGAGGAAGAGTGGAAGTCTGGGGGTGCTCAGTCCCACTGTGTCCTGGACAGGATGGGCTGACTTGCAGGCTGGTCCCCATGGATGCTCAGAAGGAAAATGTACAACAGCAGGTCAGGAAGGGAAACCAAGTCAGGGAAGGGCCCCAGCTAGGGCTAGTGGTCCACTCTCAGCAGCACTCGGTAGCACTTTGCTTCATGTGGCACTGCTTGCAGAAGAGACAGTTGTCCGAGGGTAGCAGCCTTGGTCCCTGGGCTCCACAGACAGGAAGATCTTACAGTCCTCACACCTGTAACAATTTTCCTGGAAGTTTCTTCCCATGCACTTGATTTTGAAGGCATCTTTCACATCCCAAGAAATAATGGGACTCTCACAGATGCTGCATACTGGGGCAAATTTCCTGCAGAAGTCATCCAGGCAGTACACCTTGTTCTGGCTGCCCAGGGCAAAGCTCTCATTCTCAATGCACTGGGCACAGGTCACACACATGAAGCAGGAGGGGTGGAAGGCTAGGCCCAGGGTCCTGATGATGTGCTCCCAGACCACCTCCCCACACTTGCCACACTTCTGCAGTATGTCCTGGTAGCAGGGTTCGCAGAGGACTCGCCCATCCTTCCAGTAGAAGCTCTGCCCAGCCAGCTGGCAGCTACAGGTGTGGCATGTGAAGCACTGCAGATGGTACTGCTTCTTCACGGAAGAGCGGAAGCTCTTCCTCCACCGGCCTGAGGGGACTAGAACCAGGCTGGACTGGGGCCCAGGTGGGAGGGGGGCAGGGGCAGGTGTGGCTGCTCTAAGTCTGCAATGAGGGAGGCTCCTATTGGAGCAGGTGCCTCCTCTTCAGAAGGCAGGAGCACCTGACGGGGTGGTGGATGGGGCGGGAGGAAGTCCAGGTCAGGAAGCCCGCCCTCGTCATCCAGAACAGGAGGAGAGGGTGAACATCCTCCATTTGAGAGCTGCAGAGGTGCAGCTGGCACTGTGGCTGCAGCCCTGCCAGGGGGTTTCCAGAGGCTGGGCCTCCCTGCCAAGTCAGCCCCTGGTGCTTTCATGGGGGCAGGGGCCTTCCACGGGAGGCCACACCAGACCTCACAAACCGCCTGGCTCACTTCCTTGGCCACAGTTACATGGAGGCGCATGGGTGCCAAGGTGATAAAAACAGACAATGCCATTCTCTTCTCAGGCTTTGAGGCCATGGCTTCAGCTCCTGGTGTAGCTGGGATCCGATGCTCCTGGAAGGGCCGAAGTCCCGGATGTTCAGGCCAGCTCCTCTAGTCCGCCTGCCCCAGGCAGCTCCGATTCGACATCCCATCCCTAGGATTCGACCACCTTGACTTGGTA